ATTGCCCACCACCTGTCCGAGTGAGGTGCTTTGCCTCTGTGCTCCTGGAAAGGTTCATGCTTCACTTCTTTTTGACAAAGCCCCCATCACAGTGTAATGTAATTTTCTAATGTAATAATAGCTAAGATATATGGACCCCATGCTCTGTGCTGGACATTCTTCTAAGTCCCTTATTTGTATTAGCTCCTTTAATTCTCCTAATGACCCTATGCACTAGGTACCCTTATCATCCCTACTTTGCAGATAAGGAGACAGAGGCACAGAGAGGTGAATATTCCTCTCAGTATTACACAGCCAGCATTTGAACCCAAGAAGTCTGACTCCAGAGTCCATGTAATCATCTACTATGCGTTTTTGTATCCAATAATCTCCAAAAATTCTGTCTGTGTTGTTCACTGATGTACTCTCAGAGCCTAGAATAAAGTCTGGCATGTCATAGCTGCTCATAAACAGTATACAGACTCACTGAATGAATAAATGCTAATTCATTTGGGTTAGGGACTAGGTTTTATACGGTTGATTCCCAGCAGCTAGCCTGATACCTGGCACATATAAAGTTGTTAAGCTTGTCTCTCTGGTAGGTTTACTGCCACTCTGAGTTCCAAGATTCCACTTTGCCTCTGTGTTTTTATGAGACCTTGCTTCCACCCTACCACTCCATAACACACTTTGCTGCATGTCAATTTTCAGTGTGTAGAAAAAAATCTGGTCAGCTGCTGCTTGACAGCTGGAAAAACATAGCTTCATTGGAGCCAAACAATTTTATACCTCAGAAAAGCAGGGAGGAGAGCCTCCTGCCTCATGTGGATGTGTGGGTGGAGGGCTGAATCATCGAGTTCTTTGCATTCCTTCGAAAAAGATAACTCAAAGGAATATTACACATCGTGGAGAAATAGGAGGAAAATAAGCAGAGACATGAAAATGACTGAAGTGTTGAAAAAATATGATCTACAGGGCTGAAAATAGTGGTGATCAAGTTTGGAGAGGAAAAAGCTGTGGATCAATGTTCTAGTGCCCTGAAGGCCATGCATGAATGGGCCCTAGTTTGAAGGATGTTGAATAGATGTTTACAGGTCTCACAGAGGAGAGGAATGTGCAACAGGCCTAGATTGCCCTCTGATGAGCTGAGACAGGGGAAAAGGGACAACTTTATTAGGGGAAAGACAGCCTGAGCTTCAACATAACATTATAAAAGAATATCCTCAAGTCCCACGTGACTCAGGCACAGCTAAAAAGGGTGCAAAAGTAACGATGGTATTTCCTGGCTAGTAGGTGTATTTTGCATCTTTCTTTTCCAAATGAGCACTCTAAAATCCCGAGACAGTTTTAAAAGGCATTGTAGACTTTCTCTAGAAACTTTGAAAACTTTGAGTGGGATGGGGTTGGGGGCAGGTCAAAATTTCAGAGTCATGCAAACAAATAATTTTCATGTTCTGATCTCTGGCTCATTCGGTGGCTAATGTTTGAGAGACAAGTTGTTATAGCAGCCAGAGCGTGGGTGAATTGCTTACTTCAGCTGTGCCTCATTGTGTTTTTGAGCAGCACTTTGCAAGCAGCATTGTGAGGATCAGAAAAATAGAGAAAATAAGACACACACTTACCAAAGAGCTCACGGTAGGCTCCAGGCGGTGGATTTATGACAGTGGATTTATCATTAGTATTATTTTTCACTAGCATTATTTTCTTAATTTTTTGGCTAGGATTTCTGAGGATTTGCCCCATCATGACAAAGGTTGATTAAGGAAGATCCCAAAGTTAGAAGAGCTTTTGATTAGAATGAAGGGACTGAACTGACTTCCCAGATGGACTCACTGGCTAAAGGGTGATTGTGGGAAGTATTTTATTCAAGAGTTTGTTCCACAGCCGGTGTTTGGGCTAGTGAGAAGGGAGGCTCTATATAAGTATATTGTGCTAATGAATGCCCTGAGAGAGGAGGGGAATTGTGTAAGACGATGTGTTTCTAATTCTTTCATCTACGTTCATCTTTTCTGCCCAAGAAGAATGTATGTACTTTATGGGCAGGAACCATGTCTTCTAATTTGTATTTATAATAATTTTTTTTCTCTCTCAGAGTTTTCAAGAACTAAGAATGTACATATGGATAAAACAAATCCAGAAATTCAAGCTACTTGTATTGCTAAACACAAGTAGAGTTTCATATAAACATAATTCATAAAAGGTATAAATGGCAAGAGTTTCTTTCTTCTCAATACTTTTCTGCAACACCTGGTGTACTACCTGTAGTGGCAAAATATGTCAACCCTCGGCCCTGCGGAGACCTCTACCCAGCAGATCTGACCTCCTTCTTGGATCTCAGAGGTTCAAGGGTGCAATGTGCATGTATCTCTACCCCTGAAGTCCTGCTGTCCTCTCCAGGCCTTACAGTTGCTTTGAGAGGGAAACAAGCAAGGCATTCTCACTTTTGAGAGGAGTGAAATAAAACCACCTGGACAGAGCAGGTTCTCTGATTAAAGTCCATGTTTTCCCAAGAAGAGCCTCTGTTTTTTTCTTATACTCTGTTGAAGGCTTTGCTGGTGGCAATTTTCAGTAGCTTTCTCCTCCCTATTGTTTTGATTAGTAAATGGATAATTTGTGTTTAGCAATTGATCTTTGAAGTTTTAGTCAAATACAGAATTTACTGTAAAACAAAGCAGTCTTCATTATTTTAGTGAAAGACATAAACTTAACTCAAACATAACACAGAGTCAGATTCCTGGACCTCTCATCTATCCAGTCATCCCTGTGGGAAGTTAATTCTTATGGATGGGTGAACTACTTTTAGCAAATGGTTAATGGGATATATGCTAGGTGGATATTACTTCCTTTAGGCATTCACTTAATGACTGGGTGACCATTACTAATTCCTCCTGATGATAGAAAGGGGTAAAAAAAACGTGTATGGAAAGATTAGATTTAAACCATATGAAATTGCTGATCCTTAACCATTTTTGACTCACAGAATTATAATTTCATATAGTATGACTTAATATGTCTAAAGTTAATTTATGAAATAATACATTCTATACTATGTCCAACATAAAATTGAAATTGGAATAGTAACATAGTACACTTAAGAAGAAAAGTTCAAAAATTGTTTTAAATACAGCTGCAAAATAGGAGCATGATAGTATATTCCATACTGTAATAAACCAGTAACTAATGAAAGAAGACATAATTATGTTATTTTATATCCAGTAATTAAATATGAAACTTATAATTATAAAAAAATACTGGTTTACTATAAACCCTGAAGTCAATAACATTTTGTGAAACAACTCTTTATTGTGTTATTTGAGTTGGAGGTAAATTGTGTTAAGGAGTTTTAAGAAATCTTCCTTTATCTCCAAAGACTCTGTATTTCAACAAGAAATGCTTTAAAAATTTTTAACTACTCTGTACATGAATTAATTGTGCTAACACATGTCCAAAAGTAACCTCCTTCCTTTATATTTTGGTCCCAGATAAAGTAATAATTCACAACTTTAAATTATACAAAAGAACTAATGCTCTTCTTCAGTTTGTGTGCATCTAACAGCCCATCTTAATAAAGGAGCTAATGAACACCTGATGGCATGGTGCAGCATAAACAGAAGGAGGAATGTAACAGGCTCACTAATCATGGAGTAAATCTTTTTTTGTGGAAAACAAGAAAATGCAAAATCATAGAATGGCTGCATCTTGACTAGAGAGGAAAAAATGGCTTCTCTCCTATCAATTAGAGGAAGTTAGATTAAGACCCCTAACCCCGTCAAAGACAAACAACTTAAAATGCTTGAGTACTTTATTACTAGAGACTTTCCGTTTAGATGCTGCAGTTTAAGATTCTTAAAGGAAGAGCTATACTTTAGAGCTCATGAGAAGTCTCCCTTTTCATCACTGGGGAGTGTTCATTTATAACTGCTTCCCATCGAGGTCCTTGTGGTGGGATATGACCAATATTAATTGCTTTAGTGCTTTTCTCTCAATATTCCTGAGAAACCTAACAAACCTTTAGGGACAGCCCACAGTGTGCTCTCCCTGCCTCACATCCAGTCAGTCCCTGGACTCAGCCTTCCCACTTCCCAGTCCCCAGAACCACTTCAAGGTACAGGCCACAGCCACTTCTCTTAGTGGCCTCTCCTTACTCCTTGCCCTCCTTTGTCCCTACCCTACGTCAGTTCTCTATATTCTGCTCAGAGAGATTGTCTTCAAATGTGAGCGTGGTTCTGTTGTTTCCAATCCTTTGAGCACGTCTATAAATTCCTTCGTAACATTGCCTCCCTTCCCACTATTCCTGCCACCTTCTCAAGCCTGTTCTTCATTCCAGGCTTTTGTTCATTCAGTACCCTCTTCCAGGAAGTCTCTTCACCAGCATCCCCCGTGTCCTGCCCCTGGATAATCCCTGCTTGTTTGTGAGGTCTGTGCTTAGATGCTGCTTCCTCCAAGTCACCTTCGCAGATCCTGAAAATCTGAATTCCCCTAGCATTCCTCTCCCTGTAGCAGTGACCATGGTAAATTACCATTCCATTTTTGCTTTTCTGAAAACTTCTACAGGCTACAAACAACTTGAAGGCAGGGCCTCTTGTCTGTTTCATTCACTGTTGCATTCCCAGGGCCTAGCACAGTGCCTGGCTCAGAGTAGGCACTGAATGTGTACTTGTGGAATGAATGAAGGAAGACAGACAGACCAGCATGCAGATACACAATGGTGCTTTTGGCAGAGCTCCTATCTTTGAAGAGCTTATAGTCTGTTTTACTTTCTGTACATTGGAAGACTATGTGGGATAATACAAAGAACACACTTTTCAATTACATCTGGATTTATATCCCAGCTTTACAATTTACCAGCCCTGTGAATTTGAGTAATTTATCCAACCTTCCTGAGACTTAACATATGAATTGGTATAGGGATGAAAGATGTCTACCTCATGGAATTCTTGTAAGTGCTAAAATAAGATATGTTAAACATGTGCTATAATAAACACACAATAATGTTGGCTTCCTTCCTTCCCAACATGCAGCTCTACTTCTACTTAATATCAATCTCTGCTCACCTTTCCAGTGGACTCAAGATGATCCTCCTTCATGTATGTGATCACACAATTTTAAAAATCATATTGAGAAAAGGGTAAGAGAGTTTACATTTATTAAAAATAGTATTCATAAATATAACATTAAAAAATATATATCAAGAATTTTTAAGGGTTTAAAGCATTGTATGTCAAATATCCTATCCTGCTGTATAAAATAAGTACACTTAAAGTTAGATTTCAATGGGCGGACACAGTTTGATAACATTGGATTCAAATTTTAGGACACAAATTTTATAGTGCATTATTTGAAATATTGTTTGTAACTGAATAAACTCTTAAAATTTTAAATTTTGAGTGTAAACTAAAAAATAGAATTGTATTTTTATATTTGGTAATAATGATAAAAATTTTAGATCAAATATTTTCTCTAAATAATAATAGTAATTATTCATTTTACTTGACTATGTAATGAGTTAAGAGATATGCAGAAAAAAGATCTAAGAACTCCTTCATTGCTATTATTTTTTCAGTGAGAACATATGCCCTAAACTAGGACACAGCAGAATCAGCTGAGGTAGCTTTATTTCCACATAATTTACAACCCAAGGGCTAGTTTTACATGTTTTCTTTGCCGGCTTGATTGTGGCTGATCATGGCCAAGTGTTTTGTTGCTGTTGGTTTGGCTCTTAAAGGAAACTGGATCCTGACAACAAAGTTCAAGAATTATTGTCGGCTTCTCTGCATAACTTAGAAGCATCTCCAAAGGCATATGTACTATTGCCCTGGCAGACATATATACACGAGTACAGTGTAACACCTCGATCCTCCATGCTTGGCAAGTTAATGTGGATGTTCATTTTTATAGCTGCTAACTTATTAGCTGTGGATTACGTTGTCACTTTGTGTGTTACATTTCCAAGCATAAGAAGTGTGAGTGAGTTCTAAGACATGTGAAATGAAGGATCAGCTCGCAAAAGCTGGTCTTGAAGGCATCAGAGAGTAGGGATAAAGACTTCATCATGCAGTTCATAGAGCCTGCCAATTCTTTGATTGACAGCTCTCTGTATGGCAAGTCTTGAGGGATTGGGTATTTAAATCTTAATTACAAAAAAGTGTTACAGAATACTAAAAATCATTCAAGAAAACTGGAAGGCTCATAATGTAGCATTCCTCTATTAATCTCTTACACAGAATTAAATTTGATTGACAAGATCCATACAAATAGTGTAAAGGAATTTAGGAAATCAGTGCAAAACTGAAGGAAAATTTTAAGCCATGTGCCATAAATGTGTCCTATATTATAAATTAAATTGCTCCATAATTATATGCACAAAAATAAAACATTAAAATAAGCTTTAATATAAGATAGAATCCTAACTGGCCTAGAGAACTAAAATCTCAGTAACAAGATTCAAATAAACAAAAATACAATACAACTAGCTGCTTTGCTTAGAAAAAAAATCACAAGATATTATTGTACAAAAAAAATTTGATTCCAAAAGATAGAAATAAAACAACTGTAGAGAAAAAATTTTAAAACAAAAATTGAGGAACATTCAAGAATACCAGTTATGCTCTTGGTGTTCTCATTTACGTCAGTCCCTTCTTAATTCATGAATTTGATAATCACTTATTAACAGATTACCTTGGTCCAAATCCTTTGTCAACTACAGAGAATATGGAAATAGTGATGGCAGGGTCAGAGTCCAGTGGGAAAGCACTCATGAAACAGGTCATAGCAATAGAATGTTATTAAGGTGTAAGTAAAAAGCCTGGATATCTTCTGTTCCCCCTGCCCTTATATCCACTCTCCATCTTGCTCTTTTCCCTGAGGAGGCTGATCTATATCAACTGCATCAATGGGTTCCTTTGCCCTTTGGCTTCTGGTTGGGTTCAGCCAATGGGGACCCCAGCAACAGATCAGAGGAAAGGTTAATCACGAGGTGTTATTGAGTCCCCCAGCTCCTTTCACAGTGGGCTGCCTGCATCCATTGACCAGTCACAGCTTTTAAGGAAATGTCTTCAAATTACCTTTTTGAATGTGCCAGCTGTTCCCTGCAGAGCCCTGACTGATACACTGTGAGAACAGAGGAAGGAAATCTTTGAGGAATCCAGAAAGACTTCACAGAGGAAGTGGCACTTGAGTTGAGAAGTAGGAGGTCCTGAGAAGATGGGAGAAAAGATTAAGTTGGCTGGAACATAAGGTAAATGAATGAAGGGAAGAAAGAAACCAAGATGGTTTTGGAGTGGATTGGGAAGAGCTTTGTGTTTCCTATAAAGGCAATTGGACTGAATCCAAAGGTGATAGGCAATAGGGTATTTTAGGGGGCTTTTAAGTAGAAGCTAGTGGCTAACAGTATCAACCAGTGCTTCTCAAATCTGATTATTACATGCCTCTTTTTAATTGAAATGTTTTTTTGAGGACTTTTTCGAGACTTACAGATTATTTTTCTTATAATATATATCCTATATGTATCAGCTTTAACTCATTATATATAAATTTCTTTTGCTTATAACTTTTATATAACTAAGAACCAAAATTAATTTACATAATAAATCAAAACAAAACCATATGAATTCTAAAATTCAAGTTGATATTAATCTAATATGAAGGATTATATTTTGCTGAAATAAATTCATGAAAAAATAAAAGGGTACAACATGCCTATAATACCTTGTTTTATGATGATTCGATTTTTATGCTTCTTTTTGCTGCTCAAACTATTGTGCATCTTTAATCTATACAACATGTGTGAAGTCATTTGGCCTTCATTTGATATATTACGTCTCCCTCAAAACTCAGCTGCTTGAACAACCATTTTATTATGCTTATGGATCCTGTGAATCAGGAATTCAGATTGAGCACTGTGGGAATGGCTTGTCTTTTCTCGACAATATCTGGGGCTCAAATGAGAAGACTCAGTGTCTGGAAGTAACTTGACATCTTCATACTGGTAGTTGATGCTGATTGTTGGCTGGGACTTCAGCTGGGGCAGTCAACTAGAGCTTTGAAACATGCCTTTCCAGACAGCCTCAGCTTCTTCATAGCATGGGACCCTGAGGGTGATCAGGCTTCTTACATGGCAGCTCAGAGCTCCCAAGTGTCCCAGCTCACAAAATAGAATTTGCCTCACATTTTCTGACCTAGCTTCAGAAGTCATTTGAGGTCATTTCCACTGTATTATATTGGTTACAGTGAGCCACAAGTCCACTCAGATTCAAGGAGAGGGGATGTCGTCCTCATCTCTTGATCTTCAAAGAACTTTCAGCCACTTTTTATAACTACCACAGGGTGTCATAATTAATCTTATTAAACACAAACACAGACGTAGGACACTAAAAAAGCATCTTTTCTTATTTATATAGCAGTCATCTGGATGATCTAGAATATGCTTGTTGATAGAATAATAATGGGAATGTTTTTTCCATAAGCTCTAAAATTGACAATTAAGTTCCAAATCTGAGAACAACTGGGTGGTAAATATCTCTCATTTTAGAAGTCTTACTGTTAGACATTAGGTTTATCATTTAGGACTTGAGAAATGCCCAAAAGACTTTGCTTTCTCCTTTCCCGTGGAAGACAGATACCATGAGGTCCTCATGGAGAAACATACAGTATTGTTACTCTGACACCATATGGCATGCTCAACATGGCCAAGGTGGCACTCTGCCATCTGGGCATCTACCTGTCTATGTCACAAGCCAATTATAGGCTACCCATCCTGGACAAAGAGTGAATATTGAACACCATTTGTAGATCACTCTAAATCATTTCAGTTCACCTCTTTAGCCACTGTTGTGGTGACCAGTTTCCACACAGACTTACCAGCTTCCCACAGGGCAATCTCAACAGCGTCTTCCTTGAGACTCTTCAGTGTGCCTCTGGCTTATTGTCCCTAGGATTCTCAGATGCCATGGCTTTGAGTTCCTGTGTGAATCAGTTTAGCACTTATGCACACACAACATGGAGATGTGGGAAGATGGATGCCCTTGGAGCAATGTTTGACAAAGTGAATGGGAACTGATGAATCAATGCTTGACCTGTTCATCGCTTGGCATCATTCTGAGGTGCATTTCAAAAGGGCCCCCCAGAAGGTCCTGTGGGATTAAACACATAATGGTGTACCAATTTGGTGACCAATTTGTAAACACATCTTTTTATTGACTTTACTATCTTTTTACTTCACTGTCCCAGGCTCTGACCTGGACTCATTTCCTAAATAAACTATCTGCATGCATGTCTTTGTTTCAGGATTTGCTTTCAGAGACCCAGACTGTGACAGGGTTCATGGAACTGCTGGATGAGTTCATATGGTAGGTGCCCAAGGAACATTGCCCTAGCCCAAGGCCTGTAGTGGGGAGAAAAGAGGGGTGTTGGAGAAGCCAGGCTAGGTCTCCTGTCATCTAGAGGCCCCAACTATATTGGTCATCTGTCTATTTCTGGTTGATGTGTTCTTTGATGGCATGGAGACTAGACAAGGTGACTACTCTTTCAAGGCATAAATGTATCTGTAAGCTAGAGCTTCACTGTCATTTAAAATACTTGCGTGTGCTAGCCAGATTCCAAGATGGACCCTAATAATTCTTGTCCCTTCAAATTCATGCCCTACATAGTACCCTCTTACCTTGTAAAGGGCTCATTTGTGTAACCCGTAGGGTACTGCAGAAATGACAGAGTGTGATAATCAAGGCTAGGTCATGAAAGGTATTGTGGCTTCCACCTTGTTCTCTCTCGGGTCGCTTGCTCTTGGAGAAACAAGCTGCCATGACAAGAGGACATTTAATAAGTTCTATGGAGATGTTCACCTGGCAAGGAACTGAGACCTCCTGCCAATAGCAAACATCAACTTTCCAACTGTAATAGTTTCCTATTTCTACTGTAACAAATTACCATAAATGTAGGGGCTTAAAACACAAATTTATTATCTTACAGTTAGGGAGGTCAGAAGTCCAAAAGCCGTCTCACTGGGCTAAAATCAAGGTGTTAATAGGGCTGGTTCCTTCTGGACGCTCAGAGAGGAAAATCTATTTCCTCACCTTTTTCAGCTTCTTGAGGCCACCTGCATTCCTTGACTCATGAGCCCTTCCTTGTATCACTCCAACCTCTTGCTTCTGTCTTCACATCTTCTACTACTCACCTCAATCCTCTTGCCTCCCTCTTATATAATAACCCTCCGTGATTATATTGGGCCCTCGTGGATTGTCCAGGATAATCTCTGCATCTCAAGATTCTTAATTTAGTCACATCTGCAAATTCCTTTTTTCCAAGTAAGGTAACATATTAACAAATTCTGGGGATTAGGACATGGATATCTTTGGGGGGCCATCTTTCAGCCTCCTGTACCAACTATAGGAGTGAGCCACCTTGGAAGCAGAGCCTCCCTCCCCAGTCAAGTCTTCAGATGATTGCAGCCTCTGTTGACAACTTGACTGCAACATCATGAGAGATCGGAGGCAGAAATATCCAGCTATGCCACTCCTAAATTCCTGATCCACAGACATTGTGTGAGATAATCAATTTTTACTATTGTTATAAGCCACTAAATTTTGGGGTGATTTGTTACTGAGCAACAGATAATTAATACAAAATGGAAGAGTTCAGTAGTATCTAAAAATTCATTCACATTTTGATAGGAAATAGTAATACTAGATTTGTTAAAGGAAAAGATGATTTTTAGATTCTCTAGAACTTCAGCTGTTGGAAATATTTGATTAGTTGCAAATAAGTGATTTTAATTTTCTTATCTATTTAAGTGAATGAAGTTTTGTTGATATCAAATCCCAAGAATGTGAAGATATAAGTATTTAAAAATCTTATTCAGGGCTAAGAAGGAGTGAGGAAGAATAGGGGTGACTGCTAAGGAGTATAGATTTCTTTTTGGGGTGATGAAAATGTTCTAAAATTAGATTGTAGCTGTGGTTTCACAACTTGTTAATATATTAAATACCACTGAATTATACAATTTAAGCGGATAAATTATATGGTGTGTGAGTTATATCTCAACAAAGCTATTTTAAAAACCTTATCCAAGCATAACTAATCTATGAAGTTAGAAGTCAGGATAATGATTTTCCTGCCATTGGGGGAAGTGAATAAGAGAAGGCACAAGGTTAGCTCTGACACTGGTTTTTTGATCTGGCTGCTGGCAACATGGATGTATTCACTCCATGAAAACTTACTAGGCACTTACAATTTGTATGCTCTTCTGTGTGTATATCATACTCCAATAAGTCTTACTTTTTAAAAAGCAAACACAAAAGCTAAAATGATATTATACAAAACCTCATTCTCAGTGATGTGTACAGAAGTACATGATTATCATTGCTATATCAAACAATGAAAGGGATGCTTAGAAATGAGAATTGTGACAGGGACAATGACTTTCAAGGACTTTTAAATAGAATGTGGTTTACTTACCATTCCCATAAATCACCCTATTCTTTCATAATACAGTAATTTATTCTTAATGTTGATGTGACATTTATAGAAATGTATAATTATAATAGTTACGTGAAAACTCTTGTTTAGAAAGAGCGTGGGACAACTTCATTTAAAAAATCTGATATGAAAACCACACTCAAGGAAGCAAGCTCAAGTTTTTCATTTAAAATTTTGAAACGATTCTATTTGGACACTTTATGGAAATTCAATATTTGGTATACTCCCTCACGCATTGTATGGTGTTTTTATCACAATACAATGGCATTATATAAATAAAATGTAATACACTTTGTACCAAACCCCAAAACTCCTGGAGTTCATCCATGATACACCTGTAAGTTTATAAAATATTGAGAAATCTCTAGGACTGTGAGATTTTCAAAATGTGGATGTCAAGAACTAGGAAAGATATGAAATTTACCCTACTGCAAGTTAATAGGTTAGTCTGCCACAGTTTCATAGATGCTGACCAAAGACACGAGACTCTTTGGTCAGAGGCAAAGAACAATCTATTATTCACAATCATGGCAGCAGCCAGAGTATCATCAATTTTGCACCAAGTTTACCAAACCTCAGTTCTCACATGGCAATGTGAAAAGTGTCAGGTGACATTTGTGCATGCAGTGGATTGTGTTACAGGAAAGGAAAATGAAACCTTACAATGGACATTATGATCTTTTATAATAAACTTTACCCCAGAGGGAGACATTATCTCCATTATATTCAACAGTAAACAAACCTGCTCTTTTCTCTGGAGGGAGACACTTGTCTCTATTTTTCCACGCTTGTCCACAATAGAAACATCTTTGAAAAGACAGTGATCAAAGGCAGTTGGTGCCTGTGCTTGCAAGGCATGCAGAAACACAAGAGACTCATGGGGAATTGTCTTCAACAATCAATGTGGAACTCTAGAGTTCCCTGAGATGTTCACATGGGGGAGTCAATGAGGCCAAAACATTTACAATTGTACTAAACGTTATTTCCTTTTTTCACTTTTATTCTCTCACAAATATACAGTGGAGATTTCCAGAGGCTACATAAAATGAGATGATGTCATCACTCTGGTGGCTAACAGAATGTGAGTTTCTGTATTTATATGTTTTAAAATTTTTTCCACTTTAATTTCTAGTGCAGTCATTTTGGTAGCTACAACTCACATAAACAAACCTCTTTGAGATTCTCAATATTTTTTAAGAGAGTAAAGGAGTCCTGAGATCAAAATGTTTGAGAACTGCTGCCCAGGGAAAATTATCAGGGAGATAAGACCTTGGGAATGCTGTTTATATGTGATGTTAGTCCTTCCCCTCTCTGAGTGAGAAGGAGACTCCAGGAGAATTGCTTCCAGACATTGACGATGCCCTAAGAAGGGAAGATCAATATTTCTTTCCTGAGCTATGTGCCTTCTTAGGCAGTTGAGTGCTGAACTGCTACTATCCTAATTTGGGCAGAAAGAGTAAAGATTTGGAGAGAGATGACACGGTAGAATGAAGAGCCAACAGTGCAATTGTTCGCACTCACATCCTTTGGTGTGGCAAGGGTGCATGATTGTCCTCTGAGTTACACGAGCAGTTTGTCCAGTAGTCAGGCTTCAATCATTTTATCAGTACTCCACTCAAAAGGACTGAGATGAAGAGATTCCAGCAGCAAGAAGCTCTGGGGTAAATCACTGGCGAGAGGAGATGAAAGCTGTGGACGTTCTAGTAAATACTAGTAAATGTTTAACAACTAGCTCTCCAAAAGAAAAAAGATAGAACTGATTTGTAGTTTTTGCCAATTTGTGTAGTGTGAATTCTCCCCCTATGACTGATTTCAAGTTACCAATGGATTAACAACCAGCTCAAAAAATTTCTGAAAATTTAACGATTGGCCAGTATGAGCTGGCTCCAGAATACAACTGAATAAAAGAGATTGGAATGAGTTGAGCTGGATCAGATATCTTATACCCAGAACTAAATGGTGTTCTCCCACAAGAACACACTGTGCCCCTAACTTACACTGCCCACAAAAGAGGCGTCACGGGACTCCTGCCGGAGCGAGGGAGTGGATAAACAATCAGTGTAGTCAAGAGAGAACAACAACAGCACCCTTTAACAGGACCCAATTATCCCCTTCCATAACTCCTATTCCCCCATCCAACTCCCCTCACCTGAGCAGCGGAGATGCTCAAAGAAAGGTGAGGACTACACCTCTTGTGCCTTACAGATTTCAGGCCATGGGTCAAGCAGCATGAGCTAGGGACTGTGGGGGTGGGGAGGGCGGAAAGGAACTCTACGAGAATGAAAGTTTTAACAGAATTGAATGGACCGACTAGAAGTAATTGGAAGGTAACTGGAAAGGAGAGTTTATCCTAGCGCAGATGAATGTGGCAACTGGAGAAAAAAAACAACTGCTTTAGGTTTGAACTCCCACCAAGTTCAGACTGTTTGATAAATCAATTATGTTCATATTAAATTGATTTGAAGTTTATCAAAGTAAAAACCAAAAAAGTTAATCTTCTGAATAACTCACACAAAGAAACTCTATGAATAGACTGAAATGAGGAGGTAAGTTAGGAAACTTTTAAATGTCCAGAATTCAAAGCTGAAGATCTTATCTAGCAAAGTGGTAGATAGGAAGTTGGAAGGAGATTGGGGCCTGATTCAAGAGACAATGCTTTCTGATTGGGTGACTAGTTTTATATGATGGGCATGAAGCAAAAGGTGTCAGGATTGACTCCTATTTTCCAATTTGGAAGGTTAATATAGTTTTATGTTTTGGGAACTAAGAGTTTTTTAAATTGGCGTGAATTTAGAAGACATTATTTTACATGTACGTTGAAATTGGAGGAGTCCTATCTGAATAATAAACCAAGATAGAGATGATGAATATGTCTCATAGTGTTAGCATTTATTAAGACTCATGCTAATAACATTGTTTTGCTTGTTTTAGAGCTTTATATAATGGTATCATACTCTGTTTGATATTCTGGGACTTAATTATTCCACTCATTATGTTGCTAAGGTTTATCCACGCTCAGTTGTGTGGAGCTGCTGTTCATCCATTTCCCCTGATGAGTATTCTGTGGGGAGAATATATTGTAATCCACTTATCCATTTTTGGTTTGATGGGCATTTGTACTGTTTTCAGTTTTGTATTGTAATTATGTGTACCACCATGAGCATTCTCCTGGTGCACGTATCAGGGATACAGTGAGGAAGATGATAGGGTATTTAAAATGTTTTAATTCTTAAGTTGTGGCGAACTTCAGAGGTGTTTATTTTATTAGAATGATTTATAGTTTACATGTATATTATGTATATTCTTTTGTACACATCAAATTTTACATTTTCAAAGAATAAAATAGTACTACAGAGAAAATAAGTGGAAAAGGGGGAATACGGAATGCTGGTTTCTAGAGGGAAGGGCTGCAGTTTTAAAGGGGGCGGTCAGAGAATGCCCACTGCGCAGGTGACATTTGGGCAAGACCTGAGGGAAGTGAGGGAGTGGTCATGGGGAGATCTGGGGAAAGATTGATAAAATATAGATATCATGTGAAAAAGTAAAAAGGACGACTCTAACAGCTGGTAAAAGGAGTCTGTGGGAGAGGGGAGGGGTGGAGTGTCAGTTATAACAGCTCCTCCAGCCTTCCTCTGAAGCTTCTCCCCTGGCTGTCCTGTTGGAACAGTTACTGCCAGTGGGATATATGGCCTCTAGAAACAGATCTTTTCGGCTAGCCTCACCAAAGTGAGGAAAATCCCCTTTCCTCTTCACTTTTGGGAAACACACACACACACACACACACCCCCCGGACTTTACCAGAATACCTAAACCTAGAAATGGATCCATTTACAAGACACATTTAGTTTGTTGTAAAGAAAGTAAAATATAGCCCAGCTAACATTGGTATCACTTCCGTACTGCAAGTCAAACCTGTCTGGCAAACTGTACCCGAAAGTTCCTCCTTTGAATCTTTGGGTAATCTCTTGTCCTCATTTCTACTCTTCCTAATTTTCCCTCAGGCTTCACTTCTTTAGGACGGAGATAAACAGCTAAATTGTGGGCCTCCTGCTGAGGTGAACAGGTACTTAGTGAGTTTACAGATTCCTTCCTGCAGAAGGTATCCTTTTCCCAAAAAGACATCAGAAACTTATCCTGGCTTTTCCCCATATCTCCTTTTATCACTTACCCTGTGGTAAAGATATTTTTTTCCATCCAGTTTACTCTTAAAAGTTTGATAATAAGCCCCAGGAAATGAGATTTTTAAATAAACTTTATAGGGAGTTTCTAAAATCATAATGGTTTCAAAAGAAAAAAGCCAAAGGATAAGTAATTTTCCTTAAAAAACACTGTAACTGGAACAGTTGTGATTCCTTGTGCAGTCATGTGCTTCATAATGACGTTTGGTCAATGACGGACCACATATACACTGGTGGTTCCATAAGATTAGTACCATATAGCCTAGGTGTGCAGAGGCTGTACTATCTAGATTTGTGTAAGTACACTCTAAGATGTTCACACAATGACGAAATCACCTAATGACGCATTTCTCAGAATGTATCCCCGTCATCAAGTGATGCATGACTGTAGATGTTAAAAACTTCCCCATTATTCTCTTATAGCAACTAATAATGCTTCTACTGATAATAAGATATGGGAAAACTCATGCAACTCAAAGTCATCATGAGGAACCCATGCATTTGCTGGTAGTGGAAAGATGCTTTTGGCAAGAATGAACCTGCTATGACAAATATAATCAGTGTATTATGTGTGTAAAATGTAAACTGTATTTTCTCAAGCCACGCCAACATTGGAGAGGGTGACCAAGTTGTGTCCCATCCAGTGGGGTTTCTGGAAGCCCCAAGCCTCTGTCTCCCAGCTCCCAAGCTGATTCTTAATCTTGCAGTGAAATCTGGGGAACTCAGGCCTTTCTTGGCAGCCATGGCAGCCACTTTTGATGTCCTGGTACAGCTCTGGCCTACACATTAGATTTCTCTGTGATAGCTGCTGTCCTGGCTGGACTTTGACAAGACATCTGTTGATCTTCCTTCTTTCATCCAGCTGATCTGTGAGTAGTCTGTTCCTTGAAGACTGCCAAAAGCCTTCTGTCTTAGAACTACCACAACATACTTAATTTCAAAGCTTTTTTTCCCCTCCCTCTTACAAAGCTGAGGGGTTGGAACAGTGAAGAGGAGAAGGAGGGAAGTCTTCAGGGAAACTCTGCTAGTCCACTGGATCATCTATGGAGTCAGAAGCTGGGGTTTGGTGACAGTGAAAGTGAGAGCTCATTGGTGGGCAGAATAACCACTGTCCAACGAAGGCCTGCAGCCGGCTAGGCACTCAGGAGCATTGGGCACCAGCCAAGGACAGTGCTGTGTGTTGAGTTGCCAGGTTCACATAGCTTGGAGAACTTCCCACCATGGGAGAGGGAGGATGAGGCTGGGAGTGGACAGTTGCCTACAACTCCTTCAGCTCTTTGGGTCTTGCTGGAAGGCCAGGGAGTTCTAAGCAAATGCTGCATCGAATGGGATGATCTTTCAGCCCCAGGCTTTCCATTCACTTTGTGCATCAATCACCTTAGTTTAACTTATATGACAGGAGAAAATGACCCTAAAATAAACACAGTGTCATTTATTGTTCAGCTTACATGTTCATTGTGCATTGGCTGTGGCTCAATTTGACACATTTGATCAATGACCCAGCTTCTCTCTGGGCATACAGATCTATGGCAGGGAAGAAAAGGTAGAAGAATCACCCTTAAAGATTGTGTTAGGAATTGGCATCAGGCCCTCTACTCACATTTCATTGGCCCAAGAAAGTCACAGTGTCAAGCCTGATGTCAAAGACGTGACAAGGTCTAATCCTACCATTATGTGGGGCAGCCAATATTTGAGAACAATAATACAGTTTGACATATTATGTGAACTTGAGCAAGGCATTTCACCTCTCTGAGCCTCAGCTTTCTCCTGTGTACAGAGGATGATAATAGCATTTTACCCCTCAGAGTTGTTTAGAAGGCAAAATGAAGTATTGCATTCAAATGCCATGTAAGTGTGAGAGCTAAAAGAATTAAAATGCTGCCCCAGGATAGCTCTTTCTCAA